GCCTCTTTGTAGGTTACGTGGAACAATCCCTCTTCCGTACCTACACCAGCCCTAAACCCCACCTCTTCCTCCGTTACATTGATGACTGTATCGGCGCCGCCTCGTGCTCCCACGAGGAGCTCGAACAGTTCATCCACTTCACTAACACCTTCCACCCCAACCTTAAGTTTACCTGGACCATCTCTAACACCTCTCTCCCCTTCCTGGACCTCTGTCTCCATATCGGGCAACCACCTAGAAACCAATATTCATTTCAAGCCCACCGACTCCCACAGCTACCTAGAATACTCCTCCCACCCACCTTCCTGCAAAAAAATGCTATCCCCAATTCCTTCGCCTCCGCCGCATCTGCTCCCAGGATGAGGCATTCCACTCCCGTACATCTCAGTTGTCCTTGTTTTTCAAGGACCGTAACTTCCCCTCCTCGGTGGTCGAGAACGCCCTCAACAGTGTCTCCCACATCTCCCACACCTCATATCTCACACCCTGTCCACGCAATAAGAACCCAAAAAGAATTCCCCTCGTCCTCACGTACCACCCCACCAACCTCCGGATCCAACGCATCATCCTCCGACACTTCCGCCATCTGCAATCCGAACCCACCACCAAAGACATCTTTCCCTCCCTACCCTTATCTGCTTTCCGGAGGGACCACTCTGTGACTCTCTTGTCTGCTCCACACTCCCCTCCAGCTCCACCACACCCCGGCACTTTTTTCCCTGCAACCGCAGGAAATGCTACACCTGCCCCCATACCTCCTCCCTCACCCCCATCCCAGGCCCCAAGAAGACTTTCCACATCAAGCAGATGTTCACCTGCACATCTGCCAATGTGGTATACTGCATCCGCTGTGGCTTCCTCTACATCGGGGAAACCAAGCGGAGACTCGGGGACCGCTTTGCAGAACACCTACGCTCGGTTCGCAATAAACAACTGCACCTCCCAGTCGTGAACCACTTCAACTCCAACTCCCCCTCCCATTCCCCAGGAACCATCGTGAGCCTTCAGAAGTGCCACAACGATGCCACCCGAAGGTTGCAGGAACAGCAACTCATATTCCGCTTGGGAACCCTGCAGCCCAATGGTATCAATGTGGATTTCACAAGTTTCAAAATCTCCCCTCCCCCTACCGCATCCCAAAACCAGTCCAGCTCGTCCCTGCCTCCTAACCTGTTTTTCCTCCCACCTCAAGCTGCACCTCCATCTCCTACCGACCAACCTCATCCCGCCCCCTTGACCTGTCCGTCCTCCCTGGACTGACCTATCCCCTTCCTAACTCCCTACCTACACTCTCCTTTACTGGCCCCATCCCTGCCTCTTCGACCTGTTTGTTTCCTGCTGCCATCTAGTGATGCCAGTTGGACAGGGGACATTTATCCCCTCTACTGAATTAGTAACCTGGAGACTGGTATTCACACTTTCTTGACAATTATCAAGCAACTTTCATACTCTTCAATTTGACAATGCAAGATACTTTACATTGAGGAATTGTGCTTGGATATTATTCCCTCGAGCACACTGTTCACAAATATTGGAGTGGGACACCCCCATATGTCTTGCCATTGATGTTGAGCATTCCCTCATGAATAATTAACTACTGCTTGTTCCTTTGTTTGATATCTCATTGATTAGTTCTCCACAATTGAGTCTGCTAAAATTAGTTATTACAAGAAACTGCACCTTTCCCTTTTAGCAGCACTGAGATGTCACTACAGCGTGCAAATATGTAATCTTTCATCCTGGCTGCTTTTTCTGGTGCAGCAGTTGAGGTTCATGTTACTGAGCATAAAGGGCTGGTTTTAAGCAGTTTGGTGTTGAGCACAAGCTAAAGTTTGCATAATTGCATTGTATCCTGCTTTGAGTGCATATTATGTAAACTTGCAAGCTAAACAGGTTACATTGAAATGCAATACCACAAGCCTGGAATCACTGAAGTATCAATTGGTAAATCAGTTTACAACACCATGGTTAACCATGCTGTTGTTGGGCAGCAATATTTACTCAACTGGGGCTTCTGTTGATGCCAGCTGTAACGCTTTCTAAACATTCCAAACAGCCTTTTTTTTTCCTCCATGAACAGAGAAGCCTCTGTGCTGGCTATTAAAGCTCTCTGGATGACCTGTTTTGTTTTTTGCTTTTGATCCCTATCTTCGTGCACCTGAAGTGCATATCTGCATATTTTACACATTGAGGGTTTGCCTCTACCACAGAATTTTAAGACATTTATTTGAATAAATTGATTCTCTAGATTCTTCTGATCACAAGAACATTATAGGTGTGAAGTGTTTTGAATGTAAATTGTTGGTCTGCAGAGGGAAATTTTAATGGAATTGAATTAGCTTTATTGCAATCTACTCAAGGAGTACAGTGAAAAGCTGTTGCTGCATCAGTGCCACTTTAGTATTGAAGTACAGACACCTAAGATCAAATTCTAAGCCAGCAACAATAGAAAAGTAAAGAAATAATCCAGTGTTAGAGGTCATGGGAATATTTTCAAACCTAGAAAAGGAAAATAGACTGTATTGGAAGCCTCCTTGGGATGTGTTAAGGGAGTGGAATACAACTCCTTGTATCACAGATAATACAGACCTGATCTACAAAATCAGATGGTAGCTTGCAGCCAGTGACTAGCAGTACCTGAGCGAGTCAGTAAAATCAGACCCCTCCAAGTAACGACACCATTGCCTTCTAGTACTACATAAGAGACCTCTGAAATCAGCTTGAGTTAAAAGGTTTCATGGCTGCTCTTCCCATTTACAACTGTTTCTTGTCTTTACCTAATCATTTAGAGCTAATGGATAACTTCTGTTCAAGAGTATTAAGTTTTGAAGCAGTTTTGTGTAGTTGGGAGTTTAAACCAGTTTGTGCAGATTGAAGAACGCTAAGTCTCGGTCAGTTCTGTAAGAATGTAGCTTTGTTTTTTAGCATTCTTATTCTTTTTTCCTCTTTTAGCTCTAGGAGCTGCTTATGGCACTGCTAAGAGTGGAACAGGAATTGCTGCCATGTCTGTTATGAGACCTGAGCTGATCATGAAATCCATTATTCCTGTTGTGATGGCAGGTATAATTGCTATCTATGGACTGGTGGTGGCAGTATTAATTGCCAATTCACTGACAGAAGAAATAACATTATTCAAGTAAGTAGCCCTTAACTGGTTTTTTGTGGCCTGGCAGCTGTATGTGATTAACTTTTCTCAGTCTGGCTATTTGAACTGTTATCCAGGAGAATCATCTTTGAACTAAATGCCAACATGAAATCATGGCATTGCAACCACAAGGCCTGGTTTTTGTACTTTCCTCTAAGAGTTGTCTAGTTCAACTAGATATGTTTCTGTAGCTCTGCAAATTTATCCAGATAACAATCCACTTTATTTGTAGGCCTCTATTGAACATAGCCCCACAATCTGTGGTTAAGATCCTAACCACATGCAGCGTAGCTTTCTTCTCCTTGACTTTTTGCCTGCTAGTCACACAAATCTGTTCTTTGTTTTGGATTTTCTGCCAATGGGTGGTTTCTCAATATACTTGTCAAGACCATGATCAGTCCCAAGGAGTCTCAAGTCTTCTCCATATTTTGTACCTGAAGTTCTTTGCTCAAGGAATCATTTTTGTGTATCTACTTTACACCTGCTAATTCCGTTATATGCTCCCAATTGTGCCAGAATAGCAGACATTACTCTAGTTGAACCAATATTCTACAAAGTTTATTTGAAAAAACTTCCTTGCCTTTGTACATGCAATCTTCCTTGCTGCCTTCATTGATTTGTGCATGCATATGCAGGTACCTCTGTTCCTGCAACTCCATTTTTAAAAATTGTGCACTCACTTTTAATGTTGGCTGTCCTTGCCCTAATAAAACATTGTTTCTCTGCATTAAATTTCATCTGCCTTCAAGTCCTTGGTTTCTTGCTACTCTCTTCTCTTCACTTGCTCCTAAGCTTTCTGGCATCAGCAGATTTTAAATTGTTACCTTGCAACCATTGTACAGTTCCAGGTCATTGGTAAATATCAAGAAAAAAACACTGCTGGCAAACCCACTAATTCTCTCTCCTTCAGTATGAAAGAATGAGTATGAATTGTTATCTTTTTGTCACTTGGCCAGTTCTGTACCCTTGCAACTTCAGACTGTATTGAATGATCTCTCTTTTAGCTTGTAACACTATATTTGCCAGATAAAGCTATTTTAGTACATTGGACAAGTTGATTTTACCTTAACATTAAAATTTACCTTGCTGGGGTGGACTTTTTGGGATGCATCCTTTGAGAGCCCTGATTCCACATCAAAATTGAAACTGAGTTATGTATTTGCAGGTTACTACACCAAATGGAGGAAGGATAATGTGCATAATTTATAAGTCAGTTAACCTATGTGAGGAAATCACTAGAATAAATAGCTAAATATTGAAGTGTTTCCCTCCCAAAAGGGAAATTGTGCTCAAATCTTGAAGTAGGTTTTGATTATGTTTTTGACAGGGTACCATGCAGGAGACTGGGAGAAAATTAATATTTCAAGAATCTTGAGGGAAGAAGGATAGTGAGTCTGAATATAAACTATTCAGGAGAGTTTGTTTGGCTGGCACCAACATTTCTGTTCTGGGGCTGGTGTGTACAGCAATGATTCGAACAATTGAAGTGGCATCCTAATGTGATCTTCAAAACAAAGGCATTGTCTCCTTGAATAAGGAGATTGGATTGGCTAAAAGTAATGTTAAGATATTGAAATCACTTGACTTGTAATTTGAGATGTTGTGTGACTTGTATCACTATTCTAGATAATATTTTACCTGTTTGAGGCTGGTGTTATCTCAGTAGTGGACTGAGTAGCATGAACAATGAAGTTTTAATGCAGAATCTTGCGTGAAATGCCAGATAGGACCTCACTTCACAGTTGGAGCACTGTAGTGTTTGGACTTTGCAACAGGATAAAGCTTTGCTTATGAGGGATCTTGAGATGTATGATGGATGCTTCCAGCTATGGGAGCAATTGATGGATTGATTTAGGATGACTAATTTGTTTTAATCTTGCCCTGTTCCCACTCTTGAAGGCTGCAGGTGTAGGGTGTAAAACCCTTTTTATTTTTGTAGCATATAGGCATCACAGATCACCTCTATTTCCCTGGGGAAGGTTGTAATGAGTTGCCACATTGAACCACTGGTCCATATGGTGTACTGTGCTGTTAGGAAAGGGGCTCCATTTAAGTGAAGCGAGGACAATATATAATGATGCTACAAGGCATTGGAGGGTAATACAGTCAGTGGTATTCTCTTCACTTGCCCTCAACCTTTCTAGGTGGTTGAGGGCTCATCTTTGGAAGATCCTGTGTGGGAGCCTTGGTGAATTGCTACAGTGCAACTTGTCAGAACTGAATGGGGCTGCCACTGTAATAAACTTTTCAGATGGTGTTGAACTTGTGTAGAGTTGGAGCTGCACTCAGACAAGTGGTCAGTGTTCCATCACATTCTTTATTTCTGATTTGTAGATGAACAGGCTTTGAAGTAGAGTTTACTAGGACTAACTCCCAGCTTCTGACCTACTCTGGTATCCATGACTGATCCAGTTTGATTTCTGCTCAGTGGTAACCACCACAGTATTGATGGGATATTTGGGAATGGTAATGGAAGATGACTAAATTCTTTTGGAGCTATTAATTTCCCTGTAATTGGATACCACCAATTTACTTTCCCCTTTTATCGAGCCCAATTCAGGATTTTGCAGAAGTGTTGTATATGGATACAGGCTGCTTAAATATCTCCATTATAATTGATACTGGACTTTGTGCTACTGCCATCTGCTTCTGACACTAGGAAGGTATTTGAAGTAGCTGAAGACTCAGCCTAGAACTTGTACAGTGTCTTGATTTGAGATGAAGAAACTCAACTGCAACCATTTTCCTTTTTCATGTAAAAGTGGCTCAGCCAGAGGAGACTTCCTCTAATTCCCACTGTTTTTAGTTTTGGTAGGGTGTTTTGGTGTCTGAGTTGAAGGCAGTCTCGCATTCCTTTAGTTCAGCTCTTGCCTGTGTTTGGACTAGGATTGTGAGATAGGAGCTGAACATCAGTGGGCAGGTCACTCTTGACTAAGTGTTGCATGATAGCTCTGTAAATTACACCTTCAATCAACAAACTAGGTGACTTATTGACTCATCACTTGTTCAGCTTTTGTGGGCAGGTCATGCCTAGGCAATTTTCCACACTTGGGTAGGTTTGTAGCTAGTTCTGAAGCAAAGATTTCAATAGTATTGTCATGGCTGAGGACCTTGGGAAAATGGGTATTATCAACTTGGCATTTCCATCTGAAGGTTGCAAATGCATTGAGCTGGGGTTGCCTACCATTCTTGGTATGATACCTGTTGAAACTCTTCTGTTGTATAATTGTCCACTGCAATTGAATAGATATAACAAGACTGCAGATCTTTTGATCCATTTGGTTGTGGGATTGTTTAACACTATTGCAAGTTGCTACTGCAAATTGGCATGAAGTAGTCCTGTTGTCATGTTGACCCCCCCTGCCTTTATGGTGGTATGGGCAATACCAGATGCAATTTTCCCTTAGTTTTTCAACAAGGGATCCAAATGGAGAGGTTCATTTGTCAGGTGACATTGTGGCAGTTTGAGTTGCTAAGTCTGTACTACCTAGTGTAATGGCATCTTCAATATGAAAGGAGAACTTGCATCTTCACAATGACTGGTCAATTGCTTCATAGAGGAGGACTGAGGGAGAATTCTTGCAAAACCTCCTTCCTAACTGTCACTATACAGCCATGTTCTGAGATGGCCCACTGGTGTCTAGGTCTGTCAGCATGACTGGATAGTTTATCAATTCCGATGTTAAATCCTGGCCTGGAGATGGTCTGTCTGGGTTTATACCCAAGTCTCTATGTATGCAATCCTTGATAATGGGGTTTAGTGTAGTAAAAGCTGCTTAAGATATCAGGATTTAAAATTAGTACAATTACCTCACTCTGCTATTTTGTATTAAAGATGCAGAAACCTTTTTGCAGGAGCATGATCGTTGTGGCTTTCTTGAGCATAGCAAAGTGAATTTGAATGTAACATTGTAAAGATGAAATTGGGATTTTGAATTTACTAATAGACCATGGTTCTTACTAGTTTTAGTACAACTAGTTACATATTTGTATCATTACTGTAACTTGCTTAGCCAAAAGATAATAGTTGTTTGTTAACTAGCCACATGGTTCTCTGCAGAGTGTTTCAAGGCAAAGAACATTAACTCAGTGTGATTGTTGAGGTGTAATTAGTGTTACTGAAATGATTTGAGTAGAAGAATCAAGATTTTCAATGTTCTGAAGTTTTAGGTTTAACTTCTGTAGAAGTAGGTATGCGGAGACTTTATCAACTGAGCACCAGCAAAAATGTGCTAAACTTCACGTCCCCAAAGCATTAGGAGATATGATTGAATTGTTTTAGTCAGATACTTTACATGTTAGAATCATGAAATAATTGATAGGAACAAAGTGCTAAACTATCACTGAGCATCCAAGAAATTCTTGTCTTCTACAAATGTTTGCCATATTGAAATAAGATCTGAGTCAGTGTTCAGAAGCCTTCTCACTATTAACTAATTGTACCCATTATGCCATTAATCTCCAGGTTTAGTCCAGTGTTTAGAAAACTGCAAATCTTGAGCATTTGACTTGATTTTACAGTAGAAAAATGTCTAATTCTGTTCTATGTTTCTGCCTAGTTTCAAATCCTAAGCATGTTGAATTTAATTTTTAAATGCCAAAACATGTGATGAACAATATTTATGCATTTGAAATTTACATCTAACCTTTAAATCATGTTTTCTGGCTAATTTGACCAAAACTGGCTAACAGTTGAGCAAAAATCTTTTGCACCAGCATAGTCATAGCATCTGGATGTTGCTTTTAATAAGACTGCTCTTTCAATGAGGCTTGAGAGATCATAAGGGATTTGGGTGGTGTGGACTGAGGCAACTGTCCACATTGGATGTGTTGAGGATGCTGAATTTTAAGATTAACTTCCAAAAATATTAAGATCTGGAATATGATGCCTGAAATGATGGAGACAGACAGGTGGAATTACCTTGTCTTTGTAAGGCATAATTGAATGATTACCTGGGGGAGAAAAGTAGGAAAGGGGGCTATAGGATGGGATTAGTTCAGTTACACTTGGAGAGCAGGTACAGACATGGCTAATTGGTTGCTTCTGTGTTGTAACCACTTTGTTCTTTTGTACACAGGCAGACATTGCTTGTTCGCTCCCACTTCAATGCCTTCATCCTTGTTCCTGAGAATCTGTTGTCAACTATTTTTCAGTTCTAAGAAGCTATATTATTGGCCTGAAACATCAGCTGCTTCTCTCCTCCGATGCTGCCTGGAGAAGTACTGCAGCATCTTAAGCCAGACTGCTGAACCTTAAACAGTGCTATGCATTTTGGCCTTTACATTTGAAAGTTTGAATCAGATGGGCAAGTGTTGGTGTTGGGTAATATTTGCATTTGGGATTTACTTCTCCATCCACTTGCACTATTGAAGTGCAAACAACTATTTGTACAGGAGCCAAGGTCTGCATAATTATTTGACTTCATTCATCAACATATACTGATCTGTAAACTGAGTCAACCAGTGGTGTTTCAAGTTTAAAATTTTATTCCAGATGGTTATCTTTTGGGCATAATGTCTCTATCATCCTTACCTTGAATATCTTTCTCTTGTTCCATTCAGCCATACATGTATCCAGAATTTTTAGAGGAAGTGTTAACACAATGCAATCCCTCTTTCTCTTAGCAGTTCACCTGTTTCCACCCAAAAGGCAGCTGGTTGAGAGAAATTCTTCTCTCAAACCAGCTGGAATTACCTTGTCTTGGTAGATGGGTAATGTCACCATGTTACTGCCACAAGTGTACCATAGGTTTCATTCTAGTATAGGTTAACACCATATGGCCATCCTCTAACTCTAAGTGTACAATCTTCAGTCAGTGTAGAAATTTCTCTTCCTGATTGAATGCAACTGCACAAAACTAATGTCTGATTATACAACAACTGAATTTTAGCAAGGAAGTATTATGGGCAGTGTCAAAACTAGAGTTTACAGTTTGTATGTGGAGGGTGAAGGATAATGTTTCTGGAATTTCTTGAAATTAAAGATGCTGTTTACTTTTTGGAGTACATAATTCTTGCAGCATTTGAGGAGTCTTATCAGAATGGAAAGTGTCTAAACTTGAATGTAACTACTTCTTTATGTTCACATTACAGGAGCTTCCTTCAGCTGGGTGCTGGTTTGAGCGTGGGTCTGAGTGGTCTTGCTGCTGGCTTTGCGATTGGCATTGTAGGTGATGCTGGTGTACGAGGAACTGCACAGCAGCCAAGGTTATTTGTCGGGATGATCCTAATCCTCATTTTTGCTGAAGTGTTGGGTCTTTATGGCCTGATTGTTGCTCTGATCCTTTCCACAAAATAAAACCTGCAATTAAAGCGCATAGCTGTCATTCAACTGGTCTTTACTCCAGAATGTGTACAGTTGTATCACTTTGGTAGTCAATCTCTTGTAAATGCGCAATGTATGTTAGTGATTGTCTGTCTTGTGTATATTTGGGTATAGAATTGTATTGGTTTTAAGAGCCAGATTTAGTGGCTCCTAAACACATGCAATTTCCAATCCATTTTACTGTTGAGGAGCACTCTGATTCAATTAGGATTGTAATGTTTTCATTTCTTCCAGTGATTTTTATTTATAAGATTTAAAAATGTTCATTGTTATTATGGAGCAAGATTTCTGGAGTCCCCATGATATAGTAGATTATTGCACTGTCAGTAATTGTATTTGCTCAGATCTCCCTGGATGTAATAATTGGTTAAAGATTGGATCTGATCATAGTCTTGCTTTTTTGTGTACTGGTATTGGAGTGAGTTCTACTTTGTGTTTTTAACATCCTGAGGCACATGTAAATGTTTCCAGTAGTAAGATGTATGCCTACTCAGTGTGCACCCAGTGTTGGGGGGTACATTTTCTGGTGTTTCCAAATAAAAAAAAAAAAAAAAATCCTCAACTACCTTTTTTGAAGTTGCCTAGCATTTTGTTAAACTTTATGCCTTCTTTCAATTGGTCAAACTTGGACTTGTCAGATCCTTCTAATTGTGCCTGCCTTGGGACATCTGTAGATACTGACTTGCTGCAGGTATTTTTTTTTTGAGCAATTTATTTCCTGCTTTGACAGATCAATATTTTGATAGTTCAAATCATTGGAGAAATGCTGAAATATTTGTAGGTAACAAGGAACTAAGTGGTTTATGCAAATATTGTTGCTGGGAGGCAGTGATACAAAGATTACTGAGCTTGTAACCCCAGAAATTTGGGCTATGTTCAGTTTTTGAATATTGTGTGGAAACACTATTTGGCCCAACAATCACTGCTGCCCCCAAAATCCTACAATGAGAACTAATTTTTTTAAAAACTAGTTTAGTGGTATACCACTACCTCTAGTCCAGCAGGTCTAGGTTAAAGTTCCACCTGCCTGAAAAATGCTAATGTCTGAACAATGCATTTTTAGAGGGGGGGAAAACACCAGTTTGGGTTAGTTTCAGCAACCTGTCAAATCTTTATTCAAGTTGCTATGCAAAAGGAGTAGTCAGTAGCATTTCTTCATTTTACATTTATTGTAATAATGAAAAATGTCAAACTAATGTTGTAGTGATCTGTGAATCATCTTGACAAATTGAATTCAGTCCTGAATTTTGTATGGCTCCTCTTCCATGATGTATCCAACTAAGAATAGTCTAGTTGCCAGCCTTTCCATTTTTTTTCAATAAAATGGAAAGATAGGCATAGTCAAAATGACTATGCCTGCAGCTTCCAGTGCACATTTGACATTTGGTTTTTGTCATAGACCTCCATTGTTTCACTGATTTTGAAATAAGCTCTTCACAGGAAGGGTAGTGGAAATTTGGAGCTCTTCCTGTTGCCCACCCCACCCAAGAACAAAGTGGGTAACTAGGTCAGTTGACAATTTCAATATCCAGATCAATAGACTTCAGTTGTCAAGTGCAGACTAGCCATGATGGGACTGATGCTGAAGGCTTAGGCTTTTTTCTCCCCCGGCTGATGCCTATGCCTTGCTATATATTCTGAGATTCTCACTTGCCTTCAAAATCAGTTCAGTAATGTTTTGAATTGGGAGCCTGCTGGAATCCTTTTTTTTTCTGTTTTTGTATAGTGCCAACACTGACCAACTGGATGCACAAGTTTGTTTTGTCTTTTTCTTCCAAAACCCAAATTTCAACCTTCCAGATATTTTCTTAATTCTGGAGAAATGACTAATCTTCCCTCTTACTGAGAATCTTGGGTTAAACTCTTCATTTCAGCAGGGGCAAAAAAATAAGGTTAATACGTAGTTTGACTCATTTCATTGGACATCTTTTGTTTTCTGGATCCAGCAGATGTTAACTAACAGCTGCACTTGCTACTAGTATTCAGTGCTATCAACAGTAATGACATGCAATTAAGGCTACAATGTAGCCTAATTGTTGCAAGGTTAATTCATCTAAACAATAGATTCCATTGGTCTTCCACACTGAACTCAGCTTGACTGCACCATTGGGGTGTATACTTCCCCTGACTGACTCTAGGTGTCAGATGTGCAATGTTATCTGTGATTCTCATTCCATTATTATTATTAAAGTGCTTAAGTTTTTAATAGCCTTTTTCTTTTGGGGAATGTCTCCATTGACCTGTAATTAAAATGTCATTGGTACAGTGCTTCATTTGAAATGGAACTAATGTTCTATGCAAACCTAACCAACAAACTGATTGTGCTGGAAATTGTAAGCAAATTGTTGGGGAATAATCAGCAGGTCTGATTGCACCTGTGGACAGAAAGCAGAGTTGACTGTTTCTTGTCCATTGACCCTTTCTTAATCTTTTGCAACTTGATGCTTTAACTGCTCTTGCAATCTGCTTTATCTTGTGCATTCTTCTGACCAATTCTGTACACTTATAAGCCACTTCACCGATGACACCAATCTATCATTTTTTGAAAGTCAACAGTATCCCCAGATTGCAATGTCTGTCAAGCTTCAAACAGCAGATTTTGAAATGTGCACCACATCAACTGTTACCTTCAGCCACTTTTTGTCATTTAGACTCCAGATAAAGGTTTCCTAAATACCACTAGGCCACCACCTCCCTTTGGGTTATTGGTGGACTGTTTAAGCCAGAGACCCAGGTTTGAATCCTTCTATTGGTAGATGGAATTTTGATTCACTAAATCAAGAGTCTAATGACTATGGCACCACTTCTGATTTTTAAGGGGAAAAACCCACCTGGTTCACTAATGTATTTTAGGGAAGGAAATCTGCTATCCCCTTACCTGATCTGACCCACATGTGACTCCAGACCCACAGTAATGTGCTTCACTAACTGCCATCAACAGTTTAGGGATGGGCAATAAATGCTAACCTAGCCAGTGACCCCGTCATTCCATTTTCTTTTTTAAATTTATAAACTCTATTTGTGAACATTGAATCCCTGCAGAGGCCATTGAGCTCAAGTCGACACCAACCCTCAGAGCATCCCACCCTATCCCTGTAACACTGCATTTTAGCATAGCTAATCCACCTAACCTACACACCTTTTTGGGCTGTGGGAGGAAACAAGAACATGCAATGGAAACCTATGTGCACATAAGGAACTTGCAAATTGGTTGATTACTTACAGGGAGCTACTAAGTAGTGGACTGAGTTTTTATGCAGAGTAGTTAACTGAAATTAAGATCTATCTTAAAGTATGGACTTATGCACTGAGGATGTTTGAACAATGTCTAACACCTGCTGCAACTTACTTGCATCTGTTTGAAGTTCAACATTCTTAATGAAATTTGGAAGTACTGTAATTATTTTCAAATTTTGAAGTTGTCCTGTACTCCAAGGCCTAAACCACTAGTAGGAAAAGGGGTCCCAAAACTAACCACTACAACTGTCTCCCCTCTAATTACATCCATTAACCATTTCTTGTGTTTCCTCTCACTTAGCTAAATTTGTACCCATTTTCCTACTGTCTCATTCCATGAGCCAACTTCAGTTAAAAGGCTGTTACTATCAAATTTGTCACAAATTAACACTTCAAGGTTTTTCCCATCATTGAAGTTGATTTGTTGCTAGACTTGTTTTAATGCTTAGTCCTTTTTTATTTTCCTGTATCCAGTTAAGACAGGAAATTCATGCTGCTGTCTATCTGTAGTTAACATGCAGGTGCTTCTGTATCTCTTATCTGGTCCCAGTGTCCAAGTGCAGACAGCCTTCTGACAATTTCAAATCCTCATCAAACACCCCTCACTTCAAGAAAAGAAAGGATCACTTAATCCAAGAATCATTAAGTGGACTTGTGCAAACATTTTGCTACCCTTAAAATATTACTTCTGCTAGGGATTTGTTTAGTTTGATCAGTTCTCAATGGTTTGATTTAAACAATGTTGAAGTAATGTTCTGGCTTGCCTTTGTTCTAGACAGTGCTGGACATAGGCCCAGGTTGTGACTTCTATCACCCACATGAGAATTCCTGATCAAAACTGTCTTTTTAACTAATTCCCTCCTACAGGATGAAGTTCTTAAATTTGGAATCACAATTTTAAAAGCACAAGTGCGTAAAGCATTCAGAACAAAATGGTACTGGAAGCATTAACTGTAGGACTGGAATCTAATCATTGTAACTGACGTTTAGACAGGGCTGAGACTTTGTACTTGGGAACTTGACAAGTGGTTGTTATGGCAACTCTGCTGTAATTTAGGGTAGTAATGTAATTTCCTAGATTATACCTGTTGTCCTTTAAAAGAACAATGCTGGCTAGTCTCCAGTCCCCTCTGATCTGTCCTATGACTAAAGAGGATATGAAGATTTTGTTTTGGGCCCCAGCAATTTCCTCACCTGCCTTCCCTCAATAATCTGGGACAGATCCCATCAGGACCTGGGGACTTGTCTACCTTTAATGCTTTACAAAACACCCAACACCTTTTTCATGTTGACATTCCTGAGAATATCAGCATACCACTCCTCATCCACCCTGTCCTCTTTGCATCAGTATTACAAAACTATTTGAGGACCTCACCCATTTCCTCTAGTCTGGCATAAATTCCCTCCTTTTGTCTTTTGCATGGACCCTTTCCCTAGCTGCTACTCTTGCTCTTTATATGTATAAAATGCCTTGGGATTTTCCTCAATCATATTTTCCAAAGACATTTTATGGCCCCTTTTAGTTCTAACTTCTTGTTCTTGGGTTTTTTCTGCTACTTTTGTATTCTTTTGAGGGCTTTACCTGTTGTCAGTTTCCTAAACCTTGTGTATGCCTCCTTTTATTTCTTTTTGACAAAGTTCTCCATTTCATTTCTCTTGTGATCCAAAGTCCCTAAACCTTGCCATTCTTATTCTTAGTTTTCACAGGAACTGCTGGTCCTGAACTCTAATCAACTGGCCTTTTAAAAGATTCCC